CAAACCCAACCCCTTCACACATGCCTCAGTGCTCCCCAGCCATCCTCGCCCCACATGCTCGCAGCCTCCCACCAACCCCATATCCATCCACACCCACCCGTATACTCCCCCACCCCACATACATACCCACCCCACATACGCACCCATGCCTATTCAGTCCCCCACAAACCCCACACACACCCATCTACCCAACCAACTCCTCCCACACTATACAAGAGTAAAACTTCATTTTAAGCTATTATACTGTCATCTCTATGTATACTACACAAACGCATGTAAATCAGGACAAAAGTATTTTTTTTAAATGAAATTAATGAATGTTGTAGTAAGTTTGATTTTTTTAGAATATAATTTGGTATTTTTCTGGTCAAACCCCCTTGCTGAAAGGAGTACTTCTGGGGGGCAAGGGGAGGGACTTCTGGTGGGAAACGATAGGGGTTAGGGGGTGGGACTTCCAGTCCCAAGATGGCAACCAAAGGGGTGGGGCATCTGTCAAGGGGTGGGGCTACCCTTGCGGCCCTCAATGGCTTGTCAAAACTTGGGAAGCGGCCCTGCATCCAAAAAAATTTCCTGTCCCTGTCCTAATCCATTAGTAACTGAGGAGGTACATTAAATAGTCTCAAGATAGATGCTTTTAAATCAGCTTTCCTAGACAGTTTGCAACCAAGAGTTAAAAAGAATTTGCTGAGATAATTTCTGACCTGCCAATGTTCATTTTGAATTTCGAGCAGGCACTTGATTCCAGTGTGTATGGATAGTTTTACAGAAGGAAAACCCTTGATGCCAAAGAACCTTTGATCTAGTGGAGATAGTTATAAAAAAATTCATGCTTAGAAGCTGAAACCAGATGAATTAAAATGAAAAAGGATGTGTACATTTTTAACAGTGCAGGGTAAAAACCTTTAGAAAAAGCTATTGAGGAAGCAGTGGATTCTTTACCTGTTGATATCTGCAGATCGGGATTAGGTGCTTGTCTGGAAGAATATGCTGTTGATCAAATATCTGCTGTAGGGCTCAGTGGAGTGGTAATTGTGAAAAGTAATGGCCTTTGACATGGAGGAGGGTCAGGCTACTAGACAATCTTATGGTCCTTTCTGCCTTCAGCTGCTTGAATCTGGATTATGCTCTGAATCAACTACATACTCAACTTCTTTTTATTCCAAATCTTTTCAATCACTAAAACATTTTTTCAGAAAGTAGTTACTCATTTTTAAATATGTATTAGAAAGGTACCATTAGCTGTTACTTGTAGAAATGCCTATAGATTAAAAACATAGGAGATTTTTAGAAACAGGAGCCTTTATGGGGCTTATCTCGAGACCTGATTTAGCTGTAAATTTGTATATTTATAAAAGCATTCACTTCTGCTGGCATTGGCCAATGTGCATTTTGGATGCTGAGGATGGTTTCAGCTGCTTTCTCTTGCAGGACTTTGCTTTTTTCTCCGTCTGGCTGTTTTTTTACCCTTCGCAGGCCTTTTCTTCCTGCTTGATTCTAACATCACACAGGCTGCTCTTAGCTCTGCAAAGGTGTCTTTGTGATCCTCCTGCCTCTTGCACTTTGTCTCTTCAGATGTATGCTGATTTCCCCACCCTCCCCATCGCTCAGTCTCCATGGTTCAGCTCTTTCTTTATGATCACATGTTAATGAGCTTCACCACGTGCTTTAGTACATGATTACACATTTTTGAAGTTCTGAGGCTTGTGCTGCATACAGCACATGATCTAGAATAAAGAATCTGAGTCTAGATTTTAGCTTCAGTGTTCCCCTCCGTTTAGAGCCATCCTGTGCAAGGTTTTCTCTTTGTGTGTCTTTGTGAATGCAGTTGTGTTAATTTTGTTCCTCTTTCCTTTCAGGTCAATTCTGTACTGAGGATGTGGATGAATGTCAGCTGCAGCCCAATGCCTGTCAAAATGGAGGTACCTGCACCAACCACAATGGCGGCTATGCCTGTGTCTGTGTCAATGGCTGGAGTGGGGATGATTGCAGTAAGAATATTGATGACTGTCTTACGGCTTCCTGTGCCAATGGATCTACTTGCATTGATCGTGTGGCTTCATTTGCATGCATCTGTCCAGAAGGAAAGGCAGGTAAGGATGAAACAGGCTCAAAGTTTGGGGTTGCTGCTGCTGTCAAAAGTGCTGACAAAACAGAAAGAACGTCCTAAAATGTACCTTAAAAAAATAGCAAGAGTGTTTCCAGTTGCTTGCCAGTGCACCCAACTGGTGGAAAGATTTTTGTGTAGACAAAGAGAGAGCTACTTGACTAACCTGGACTGAAACCTCTAGTACCCTGAGAGAGAGTGTGAGGTGAGTAAGCCCTGGGTCTCCTCAATAACTGTGCTTCTCTCTTCCCACCCCTCCTTCCCCCCAAGATTAAAATGGGGGAACTGAGGTATATATATTAAAGTGGGGAAGCTGAGGAATGTTGATTACTCCCCGGTAAAGCTGTAAATCTGCCCTTGTGGCCAGAGCAGGTAATTGCCTCCTGGTATAGATTACAAACTAAGAGTACTAAATCTTCACAGGAGCCATGCTGGTATGTGGAGGGTGAGTAACCCATGGCTGTGGTGAGGACTGAGTTGCATGTGCCTGTATGTGTGTGTATGAGCTACAGCACCATAGTAGTTGGTGTGAGGAAAGAGAAGCTGACTGGGAAATGCTGCTCCCTACAAAAGCTTTGGTAACTAAGCTGTTACTGAACTCTAGGAGTGCTGGAAACCCTTTGTAACCACATATAAATATATCCAAATTATGCTGTAGTGTGCATGGTGAGAATCCTAATAGTAACTTGTTGGCAAAACAACATCTCCCAAAGCTCTGGTCATGTTCTGGCATGGAAAGTTGGACCTCCATCAAAAGATCAGTTTGGATAACACAAGCATGTAGAGTGCAGTTTGATTTAGATTTTATTTTTCTTGTTGGTCAGCTTATTAGTGTGACATCCATTTGTGTTTGTAGGCCTCCTGTGTCATCTGGATGATGCATGTGTTAGCAACCCCTGCCAGAAGGGGGCTCTATGTGATACCAACCCTATGAATGGACACTATATCTGCACTTGTCCCCAAGGCTACAAAGGAGCAGACTGTACTGAAGATGTAGATGAGTGTGCTATGGGTAAGTTTCCAGTCAAAGTTTTCATATACTAACAATGGATTTTCTACATCGCAGACTTGGGGGAAAGGATAGGAATAGCTTATGGAAGTACTTGGGTTAGGTGAGGATGCAAAGGTAAGGTTGTGTCCTGAACATTATTCCATCATTTTAAAGCTCTAATTATTTCTAAGCACTTCACTGACAATATAATTTCACCACAGCTCCATAAGAAGGCAAGATCTTCCTATTCTTTAATGGAAGCTAAGATGGAGATTGTGCCAGGCCCAGGGGGTGAAAGCCATCAGTCAGGATCTCACATTTAGGGCATTTATAGACGTATTCCATGATGGGGCGTGGCACTTTAATTAGTGAGCTGCGCTAATGAAAAGTGCCCACACATCAAGTATATCAGTGTCTCCGTGCTGAAAAATGGTGGTGGGGGAACAAACTTTAGTTTAAAGCACCCCACTGCTATTTTTCAGCATGGAGATGGTGATACGCATATGCCAGGGTTGCTGGAGTGCAGAAATTTCCATGCTCCAGCAGCCTTGATTAATTGAGTCTACTCCACTGCGCTGGACATACAGCACATCAGAGCAGCCTTGCTGCACATCTTTAGGAGCCCCCAAATACCAGATTATGAAAGCACCATCTAGCTGGTGTCCTTTCTGGCCCAGGCTAGTACTAGTTGCTTCAGGAAAAGGTCCAAGAAACCCTGCAATAATTAAGCACAGGATATTTCCAAGCAGAAGGGTACAGTTAACTTTCAGAGCATTCAGCTTTGTTGCTTACAAAACTCTTGGGTTGTCTTCTGTCCTTTTCAGCTCTGGTTATTCATTTTGACCATGAAGCTATCCAACCCTTTTTACTACTTTAAGCTCATGGCTTCAAATACAACTTGAGGTAGTGAGTTCCCTGGCCTAACTATAGTAAATGGAAAGTGTGTCCTCTTAACAATTTGGTGTATATCATCTCTGCATTTCATTAAATATCTGTTGCTTTTGTTGAGCGCTATGTTTTTGTGTTTTGAGATCAAGTGAAGAAGAACCCAACAAATTTCTGTGCCACTAATTAATTGTGGGCCTTTATCATATTCCCTCTTCTCTGTTTCCTTGTATGATTTTCAGTCTCTTTATAAGAATTTTTCCATTCCTCAGACAATCCCAGTACTACTCGGAATGCTCTCTAATTCTGCAGTCTCCTTCTAGAGGAGGATTGCCAAAATAATATACCAGATTTCAGGTAGTGCAGCATACTTTTTAATTTATGGCAAGATTTCCATTCTTTATGAATTTCTAATATACCCCAGTACTGTCTTCAGGGAATCTGATTAGATTCATTCTTCATAAAGACTCTTGCCTAGCTGATGTAATCTCTGAAGAATTTATAGAATCTGAACACATGAAAGAATTTAACAGGCAAGGTTCTTGAATATTTTGTCAGTTAGTGGGGAAATGATTGGTGTGTAGAAAGGCTACAGATGGAGAAGATCACTTGCTGTAGAGATGAGTGAGTTTCCTAGTATAATGATTCTAGAGATGCGGCCTAAAAGGACAGAGAAACCTGTATGAGAGTCTCCCCCACATTTATGAGCCAATTCTGACCTTTAAGTGTGCTAAAATATATTGATGACAGGTCATCTCTACCTTTATTAAAAAGCATCAAATCACTATTCTTTTAGTCCCTTCGTGTACCCTTTTAAGAAGCTTCTTTATATTTCTTGTCTATAGTGAGTGTTTTTTCCCCTCCCTCATGATGTGGACTTGCTGGCCAAATGGCTTGGGTACAGGACTGTGTCAGGGTCTCCTGAGTTTTTTAATGGATTCCAATATGAATTTACCTAAATTACTTTACCAGGCTCCTGGCTCATTTTATTTTTTCCAGTACTCAAAGAACTGTAATGAGAAGTCATTATTCTCATTGGAATCATCTGAAGATACCATCTGCTTTATGTCTGTGCAGCCCAAATCCTGCTGGTTTCTCTGCCATAGTAATGTAAACATTTTAGCTAATCTGCTCTTTCTCTTATGCTTTTGCTGCATTTCAAGTGACTGTTTGTGTTACATATCTTGCCTTTCGATTATCTTTCCTTGAATGCATTGGTTACTTTTTCCAAGCTGAATCTCGTGTTATTTCCTGACCTTAACTTATGTCCAAGGTCAATCTGACTATGATATGGGTAGCAAAGGCCACATGGGCTAAGGGTCATTTTGCTGGCCCCTGTACTGAAGCAAGCAGGCAAGTTGAAGAGGTGATTTAAAGCCTCCTATCCAAAATAAGCTTATGTTTTCAGATCCCTGGTCAGAGCTGCTGTCAGTGTCCCTGCAGGACCCATGGAAGTGGGGAGAACATCAGAATGCTCTTCTGACTGTGTGACGGTACTTGGGAGATTTTCCTTCCTATCTACAAGAAGCTGGAGGCTGGTACATTTTTCCCAATGCCACAGAAAGGGAAATAGCCATCTCCTATTAGGCAGAAGAGATCTCGTCTCAGGCGGTGGTGATACAGGAAAGGATGGGATTGTTGGTGGTGTCGAGACCATCATGAGTGGAAGAGTAGATTCTGATCTATAAATGAATGTCTCTTACAGCAAACAGCAATCCGTGTGAACATGCTGGAAAATGTGTGAATACTGAAGGCTCCTTCCACTGTGAGTGTCTGAAGGGATACACAGGACCACGCTGTGAAATGGACATTAATGAGTGTCATTCCAATCCATGTCAAAATGATGCCACTTGCCTGGATAAAATTGGGGGATTCACATGTCTGTGTATGCCAGGTAAGGCGAGTTTCCCAGGAATTTCTAACAAGGACGGGAAAGATCAGAAATGTGAGGGCAGAAAATGATTACAGCAGTTTAGAAATGGAAGATGTGTGCGTGACAGGGTGCCTAAGGACCAGGCTGGAGAGTTTTCTGTGTGCATGCCAGTCTTGAAGGTTTGCTGGTATGTGAGTGGAGGAAAAAGAGGTGGGGGAGGAGGAGAAGCAGAAACCTGACAGTAAATGTGTTAATGAAGCCTAGCTTGTAAAAACATAGACTTGTTATTCATTGTTTAATGAGATGTACAGAAGTGATTTGTTTTAAAGTTAGCAGAAACCGTGTTTGAGTGACTGAGTAAGTTCTCAACTGTGTGTTTTTATATTGTTGTTTGGGAAAATTCCCAGGGCACTGTCAAGTCTTGTTTTATATATTCCCAAGTAAAGGGTTTTCAGTACTTTGGGCAACTAGTCAATAGACTGATAGATCTCACTGTTTAAAAAATATTCCATGTTTTGAAATCCTTAACTTTATAGAATTTGTGATATAAATAATACAAGTGGCCCACGTTGTTAGTCCACTGTTTTCCCTTCTTGTCATGACCAATACTTGATGTTTCCTTTAAAAAAAATAAGTAAAGAAAATAAAGAAAAAGATGTTTTTGGCCAGTTGACAGCCTAATATTCAGGCCAGTACTAATATGGATGAAGAATTCTGACCTGTGCAACCAATCAGTTGGCATCCAGAAGTATAGAGTGAATTTACCCTAGCCATAAGAAGTCCAGGACCAGTGTCTTCCATTGTTTCCAAAGTTATTCATCCCCTCTAAGGCCCCTTCCCCCATCACACCTTTTACAAATATGCTTGGTCTTATGGCATAACTTACGGACACTGTCATTTTCTACGTTAGCGAGATCTGGCATTGATTTTTAGCAGTACAGGAGACCCTCACCATTCATGGGGGATACGTTCTCAAATGCTGTGCCCCCGGCAGCTGGGGGTGGGGTACGGCTGCTTTGGTGGCAGCAGGAGCATGGTGGAAGCGCAGCGGCAGGAGCCCGGCAGCGGCAAGCGCGGAGCTCCCAAGGAGCTCCTCTAAGTGTATTTAAGATGTGGGTTCAGGATTCGCAAATATTTGAAACCACAAATGCTGAACCTGCGAATAGTGAGGGTTTCCTGTAGAATAAGGGGAAGCCAACAAACTGGGTACTTTCTGGAGCCCCTTTGTCATCCCCTGTAATCTGCTGTCTTTTTCAGGGTTTAAAGGCATGCACTGTGAACTGGAGATCAATGAATGCCTTAGTAGTCCCTGTGTGAACAATGGAGAGTGTCAGGATAAGGTCAATCACTTTCTGTGCAAATGCCCACCTGGTAAGTTCTCCCATCCTGCATCTGTTCTGTGCATCTGTCTACAAAGGCCTAATAGTCTATAAGGAAGGGCAGAGTGCAAGCGTGTGTAGGGTTTACTTGACTTAGGAAGTCCCAGTACAGCACCCAGCTTCAAACTCATCCAAGGAAAACAGTAGTGATTCACTGTAAAGCCTGATGAATAAGTGTAGGTTTGTACTCAGTTGAAGTGATGCAGCACTGGGACTATGTACTTAATTACACATGTTAAGACTAAACACCTAGCCTCAAAGGTGTTAGGTGGCACCTGCTGTTTCACTTGTTAAGAACATTGGGGTGAATTACAGACCAATCTTTGTAGATACATTTTTTTCAAAAAATGAGAAATCCTTGAGAGAGGCAAGGATTTTTGTGGGTGGGGTTTTTTTTTTTATTGGACTACCTTCATGGCCCATTGTCAGGCTTTACATTTTATTTTCCTCCAGGTTTGAGGACTCAGCTTTTTCCCCCTGTAGCATAGGCAGGGGACTCAGCACTCCTGTCTAGAAAGAAGAGGCTGCTCTTGAACAAAGGGACTAGCACCAGGTGTCAGGTCTAGTGTCTTGCAAGCCACTGGGCAGGGGGCAAAAGTAAATGTTTTTCCTTCTCAAAAATTACTTATCTTGACACATGTCTAGTCTCTATCCCCTATGTGTGGTGATGAGTTCTTGGGCATGCCAATGGAATTGTCCAATTTTTCCCTTGGTCCCAAACCATTCTTGAATCTTCACTGCCCTTTCTTAGTACTTGGGTCCCATTACTTCTGAGTCTCTTACCATAACTGACATTGATACTGTTTATCAGTTTTAAAGTATTATGAAGTATAGCTCTATATTGTGCAGTAGATCCTAAGTTGTTGGAATACTCTCTTACTAGAGGCTGTAGTAAGAGATGCATCATTTCCTCATGTTGTGTTACTTGCTTTGACTGTCAGAAATTTTCCTCTGTTTCTCTTTTGCCAGTGACATTTCATTTTCCCAAGAGTACCAACATGAAGAGTCTTTACTCTCCCCTTGTTATGCTCCTGTTGCCCCTGGCCAGTCCTTTTATGAGTATCATTAAAATTGTTCCTGCCTCTTTGACTTGTAGGGCAGAAAGTTCCTATAGGCTGGTTGTTTGCTGGGCCAGAAACCAACCAGTTGAGAGAGCAGAGTGGAACTAAGGGTGCAATCCAGCCTAGATCCACCAAATAATACTGGGGCAGTTCTTAAGAGTTAGTAAAGAATCCTTGGCAATGATCTGTTAGCCAGAGTCCTGCCTGGATCGCTTTGAGCAGCAAGAAGGAACAACTCCTCCTTGAGTTGCTTCAGTATTGTTTCCTTTTCATTTTCAGGTTTTACTGGAGCCGTGTGCCAGATTGACATTGATGACTGCTCCAGCACACCTTGCCTAAATGGAGCAAAGTGCATTGATCATCCCAATGGCTATGAGTGCCAGTGTGCCACAGGTTAGCCTCTATACAGCTTCTCATATTCTGGCAACTATCGTGAATGTAGAGAAGAGGGCTGGGGGAAGGAGGGGGAGGTGTCAGCTGTATGCTGTCTGTGAAATACTGTTTTTCATGAAGCTTTGCTACCAAGCCTTTTGTAGCAGAGACCAGCACGAATATCACTTAGGTAAAGTAAACCTTCTGGTTTGTGACTGCAGCTAGCTGGAGTCTTAGCTTTGATCTTTGTCTCATCACTTATTTTCCATGAGGGGAGAATGTCTGTCTCCTGTACTAGCTGGTGTTGTGGTGTTTTTCATTCAGGGATCCTGGGTGGGGGGGATGGAGTCCTTTTTCTGGGACTGCAGCATAGGTGTAAGTGAAAGAACTGGCAACCAAAGACCAAGAAATGAGTGATGAATGCTACACTGCATTCCTTCCTGCCTGTTTACTTCCTGACTACTTAAGTCTTCCATTTCCCACTCTTTTAGACACATCAAGAGCAATAAATGTGCACAATGCCTTAAAATTTGGCCACTCAGAAAATGCATTATGCAGTTAATGGTCAACTGCCAAAATTTTGGCTCTTAAATGACTGGCCCAACATCATGTTAGGAGCTCCTACTCAGCAGAGCCAAGGATACACCTGACTTTCTGGGTGGCATTCAGCCCTTGGGTTGCATGGGCAACTTTAAACCTAGTACTTCCCAACTTACTTTGTAACTCAGTTGTAATACTTTTAGGATTTATTTTGGAATGCTTGATATAGTCACTTCAGACTAAAGGAGGCAGGCCTTTAGAGCTATCTAAGGAAAGGTTTAGTTCTGTGATTGTGAACCAGTGTAGCTGAATGAGGCTTAGTGGTTTCTACTTAATGGCTGCTGAGATGGGTAATGATGCCCCCTGTTTTTCATAGATTCATAGATTCATAGATTAAGGGTCGGAAGGGACCTAGTAGATCTTCTAGCCCGACCCCCCGCCAGGGCGGGAGAACAACAAAAACCCCAAAAAGAGAAATGGGACTCAAACGAGTCCAGCTAGGTGGGCATCCAGCCT